CAAATTATTTTGTAGATTTCTAGATTTTTACTGGGCTTCAGATCTGCGATACTGTTAAATGTCCCCAAACACAAACGTGTAGACCACTGATTGCTATTGGTGATGCTCATACAAGATGCGCATGTCCAATAGGACTCACTGGCCCAAAATGTCGGCAAAGTACTGTAGCATCCTTAGATGAGAACAGTCTATTCATCCATCAAAGCCCTAACGTTATGATAGGGTAAGATACGAAACTAAAATTGGCGATTTATGGGGTAATTGAATGTGATAGTCATTTCAGGTCGTCCTCTGGTCCTCTACCATACGTGCTCAGTGTTTCTATAAGAACTACTGTACCAACAGCACACATTGTATCCGGAGAAAATATCTTTGGACAAAGACTTTTTTCGATAAGTTTAGCTGACGGACGTTTGATTATCTCTATCCAAGGCACAACATACAGAAAGCTTATCCCGTACAGCATCAATGATGGCACTTGGTACACGTTTCGCCTGGAGAAGAGTGAGAATGTAAGTTAGCATATTAACTTGTTTTGCGAGAGGGTAAATTTGAGCTTCTCCAGGATTTGGTCGTTTCGGTTGTGAACGAGGATGGGTATCAATTGCTGCTACAGTCGCTTCCCCGACAAGCTACGTTCGACGTTTTCGCTACTCGCATTGGCAAAGTCGCCGAATCCGAGTTTTTTGTGGGCTGTGCGGCCGACTTAGCCATAGGAGACGTGGAAATCGACCTCGCTTCATCCAGCAGAAGTGCAGGAATAAGTTCAGGTACGTGGAATAAACTTTCTATAATATCTTGGCCATTTGCACTCTTTTGGACAACAAAAAAATGTTTAAGCCCCGAGATTACATCTTTCAAAGTTTCATTTATTCAGGTTGCAAGCATACAGATCAGTGCTTGCGAAATCCTTGCCTCAATGATGGAGCATGCGTAGATCTCTGGACACATTCATCCTGTGTCTGTCAACCGCCATTTTTGCCCCCTCTTTGTATGCACTCACTGCCTCCTAGTACATTTGGACATAACAATCTGACTTCCACTGCTGTAATTCAGTAAGTTTTTCTTTTTGATAAAGTATATTAGGAATGAAACGATTGCTTTGCTTTAAAAGTAGAATCGAGTTAGAGTACCTATACCTTTAGAATACCCTCCACGATCTCTCACGATATGCGTTACGCCACCAAAATTCAGCTAATCCTTCGGTCAAACCAAGCAAATGATGTGATTCTGTTCCTTGGTGAGACAGGCGATGAATTGGCTACGTTTACCTCAATCTCACTAAGGGATGGTCATGTAATTGGTTAGTTTAGTTGTTCAAGTTTGTTCAAGGTGAGGCAACC